ATGGCTGGAGTGTGTCAGCAGTTCCTGCAAGACGAAGGCATTGATGCGATGGACTGGCCCGCCCGTTCCCCAGACCTGAATCCAATTGAGCACATCTGGGACATCATGTCTCACTCCATCCACCAACGCCACGTTGCACCACAGACTGTCCAGGAGTTGGGGGATGCTTTAGTCCAGGTATGGGAGGAGATCCCTCAGGAGACCATCCGCCACCTCATCAGGAGCATGCCCAGGCGTTGTAGGGAGGTCATACAGGCACGTGGAGGCCACACACACACTACTGAGCCTCATTTTGACTTGTTTTAAGGACATGACATCAAAGTTGGATCAGCCTGTAGTGTTTTTTTCCACTTTAATTTTGAGTGTAACTCCACATCCAGATCTCCATGGGTTGCTAAATTTGATTTCCATTGATAATTTTTGTGTGATTTTGTTGTCAGCACATTCAACTATGTAAGTATTTCATAAGAATATTTCATTCATTCAGATCTAGGATGTCTTATTTTATTTTTTTGAGCAGTGTATTAAAAAATAATGAAAATTGGACCAACTCATTTATGAGGAAAGATTACAGGACATTAATCTTTGTACCTTTAAAAAATGGTGACTAAGTTAACAGACCTGATTCAAAATTCGTAACACCAGGGAGAAATATTTTCCCATTTTTCAAAATACTAGAATCTACATCAGGGGTGTCAAACTGGCGGCCCACAAGCCGCAGGCATTACCTGCAGGCCACGCCCACCCCAGCTCCGTGAATGGGAAAAACATTGCGAAACATCATGTGACAGCAATGTGACTCCACCAGTTTGATACCCGTGATCTAGATCATGCAACAAAACTATATAATGGCAAATTACCTGCTTCGTGAATGCCTGGGTTATCCGATATTTCCATGGCATACAATTCCCTTTGCTCCACTGACTTGCCCACCGAGTAGAGCCGGGTAATGTTTGGGTACTCAGTGGCAAATTTCCTCAGAAAGATACCCATATCAGGGAAGTGGTGATGGCGAAAATCATCCGGCTGGATCACTTGGCGAGCAGAGGTTGTCCTGTTTACAGCAGTGATAGTTGCTGCATTGCCAAGAGAGTTGCTGGTGGTGATCAGTGTTTCCTTGGTGGGTCTGGAAGTCAACACTGTGACTGCAGGATGCAAGGAAAAATCCACTATGGTTGCGTTTGCTTCCTTCACTTCAATGTTCTCCGTGGTGACTGGCAGGTAGCTGATGGGGAAAAAGAAAGAGAAGAATATGCTTTTAGGTTGACATTAGCTTCACCTGGCTTAAGAGCATCCCTAATGGAATTTACTTTAATTCCATTACTAAAGGTAGTGTCTGACTTACAACAGTTCATTTAGTGACTGTTCAAAATCACAACAGCATTGGAAAAAGTGACTTAGAACGGTTTTTCACATTATGATCTTTGCAGCATCCCCTTAATCATGTGATCAAAATTCAGGTGCTTGGCAATTGGTTCATGTTTACAATAGTTGCTGTGTCCCAAGGTCACGTGATCAACTTTTGTAACCTTCTGACAAGCAAAATCAATGGGGAAACCAGATTCACTTAAAAGCCAAGTTATTAACATATCAGCTGCAGCGATTCACATAACTGTGGCAAGAAAGGTCATAAAATGGGGCAACATTCACTTAACAAATGTCTCACTTAACAATAGAAATGTTGGGCTCCATTGCCATCGTAAGTTGAGGACAACCTGTATTTATTCACCTTGAATATTATTCCCACTTCGTTAGTGAAAAAAATAAGACCAAAGAGCAACGTTATTATTTCTCAACTGAAGAACCTAACTCAAGGGTCCCACATCAAAGCTCCATTTTTATGTCTGCTTCACTGCAAATCTCAGGCTTGCAATGTAGCTGTTCCAAATCCTTCACTCATTTTCTCTTAAGAAAGGGAAACCTTTTTCACAAAGAAACACTGAAGGTAGTAGGCTTAATCCTCATGGAACCACTGTCCTTCCCTGCTTTTCTATGTGCCTAGTTTTTTGTTGTCTGCACTAGCAATATGATTATATGACAGCGCCTGCCTAGTTTATGGCAAAATGAGACAAAGCTTCTAATATTCCCATAAAGCAACTCCTTACTAGAAGAAACTATGCCAAAGATAATGAACTTGTTGATGCCAGCTCCATATACTTTACCCCGAGACGGAAGCTGTGATATTATAGGTCCCAGGCACCAACAGTCTGTAATAGTCACCAAACTGTCCAGTCGTAATGTTGTGAGCAACCCCAGCCACAGCAATGGTTGCATTTTCCAAGGCAGCCCCAGTGACCGAATCTCTCACAAATCCTTTAATTCCAATATGTACCTGTATTAAATAAATGTGAATTAGATCCAGAACATGTTGTAAAAACTTTTAGTATTTTCATATTCAGCAACTTGCTAATTTCATGCTAAGTGATCTGTGCAATATTCTTTTTTTTCCTCATCCAAGGAAAGTTACAGGTTGCTGTTAAGCTTGCACACAAAATGAAATAAAATAAGGAATATAACAAGGAGAAATTGGCAGAGAATAGCACATCTCTTGCATAACAAGAGCAGCTGGGCAGCATCACCAGAAGGTTGGCATAAATCTAAAACTTGACAGTATGTCTGTGAATTTCTATATTTTGAATTCCTCTACATAAAGTTCAGTATACTAGGAAAGAGCAGCTACATTAATCTTTAGATTGAAGGAAATGTCATAGATTTTATCAACCATGCTCGCAGTTTTAGATTTCTTGTTCTGTAACCAAGGGATTTGTTTCTGTCACAGGCTGTCTTTCAAAAAACAAAATGCCAAGAAAAACAAAGAGGACAGTTGTGTGTTTTTGAGTCATGCTTGTAAAAGCCAAAAGATGAAACAACTCAGCTCTATTTTACAGATAAACATGCCATTTTTATGCACCGCTTCCGTCAAAATGCTTCACTCAAAACAGATGGTGAATTCATATGACTTTAGAATATGAAATTATGTTCAAGATGGTACGCAGAGCACATCATTTTTTATTGGTAGAGCTATCAACAGAGAATGTTATGTTAAAGTATTTGTTATCTAATATTATTATGTACTTTGTACTGATTCATATTCAGCATTATTTATCATTCATTAATAAAACTACACAAATGAGACAGAATTGTCTTTCTTCATCATGTCATTTCTTTTTTGATGTGACGTAACTATCTAATAAGGGATGTGATCGCTCAGTGGCTAAGACGTTGAGTTTGTCGATCAGAAAGGTCGGCAGTTTGGCAGTTCGAATCCCTAGTGCTGCATAACGGAGTGAGCTCCCGTTACTTGTCCCAGCTTCTGCCAACCTAGCAGTTCAAAAGCATGTAAAAATGCACGTAGAAAAATAGGGAGCACCTCGGTGGGAAGGTAACAGCATTTCGTGCTCCTTTGGCATTTAGTCATGCCGGTCACATGACCACAGAGACGTCTTCGGACAGCGTTGGCTCTTCGGCTTTGTAACAGAGATGAGAACCACCCACTAGAGCCGGAAATAAGTAGCATGTGTGAGGGGAACCTTTATCTTTACCTATCTAATAATGGGTTCTCGCTTTGCAGTGAGGCAGTAACCTACTTTTTTATACCTTGGTGGGGTTGGACATATCCTGCTTCCATTTCATAAAAGAGCCTGCAGGAAAATCCCCCACCCAGTTTTCCTACTGATCTATCATACCAATCGAGACAGAACACATACCGGTATTAAGAAGCTCACAGAGTAAAGTGAAAGAATGTGTCCCACAGCTAGAAGACTGAGGAAGGTGTCAATAAATTTATGGCCAATTGCTTCAATTTATGCAAAGCCAACAACTATATTGATTTATGAGGACATGGCTTGACACCATCCTCGACAGAATCCTCATGGAAAATAAGCAATGCTATGCCGTTTATTTATTTATTAAATGTTTATCCTGTCTTAATTACTTTATATGTTACTCAAATAGAGTCACATTGGTTGAAATGGGTAACATACAGATAAATAAATACTTGTTTCTCCTCTTTCCCCCCACAACAACCACAATGTGTGGTGAACTGGGCTGATAAAGAGGGACTGGCCCAAAGACACCCAATTGGCTTTCATGCCATGTCAGGACTAGAATTCCCAATCTCCTGGTTTCTATGTCAGCACCATAACCAAACTGGCTGTCTTTTAAGTCAACTCTTTAAGTGAAAAAGCATTTGTGTAAATATTCAGCGAACCAAGCAGAGTAGGCAACAGGAGCTGAAACTCCTGAGAGGGAGCAAAAGACAGCTTCAGAATAAGATATCATTTTTTTTTAGACTTTAGTACAGTTACGGTTACTAAATGTGTTTTATGCATGGTCCTAAATATTTCTGTGAAAGATGAAAAAGGGAAGAGATTTATACACATGATCACTATACTCTGGCAGAGTGAATTATCAAAACAAGTTCAGGCAGGTTTCATATGCGGCTGCAATCTATGCCTCAAGCCATTTGGTTTTAAAAAAAAAACCTTCTCCTCAAGGAACTCAAATGAAAGAAACCTTTTTCCATGCCTAAAGGATGTCCTGCAACAGATTGAGATACTGAGTGCTCCGTGTGTTGCAGAGTGACTAATTTCCTTGAGACCTGTAAAAAACAGTAATGCTGAAGACAGTGACGAACCAGGATCTGTCCCCTGTTTTAATTGGTATTTCAGTAACCTTTGTGGTGACTGCCAAGCTGTAATTTCCAGGAGAATTTTAATATATGCACAACAGTTGAATGACAGGTGCAGGCTGGACAAAAGCTAATTTTTCCCTTAGCTCCTGTGATATGAAAAGGGGGTTCCTGTGCAGTTATAATTATTGAAAAAAGAAATTATCACTGCTATTGCTGATATATGAGCAGCTCAACTTTGTCAGCACTCCGTGCTACGTACAAAAAGGACAAATGACTCCTTAAGCAGAGTTAATCCTTTAGTCTGGACAATACCCTGAACCATTTCGTTGTACGCAAAGAAATTTCATTTTAATGTATGCTGATTAGCGTACATTCAAAGTGACAATAAAGTTATTCTAACAAGTTCTAACCACAGATTACACAGATTAGCTCCATCCACAAAAGGATACCAATTGTGATTCACAGCCATCAGTGATAAAGTTTCTAGGATTAGAATGCAATAATCTGAACTGTAAAACCATGAAATGGCTTAATATACCATGTCTGTATAGTTAGTGGTTGGCTCCATGATCAGCCGTTCTTTAATCAAACCCTGAAAGGTAGTGTCTGCATATACTTGACTCTAATACAGGTAATCCTCGACTTACAACAGCTCCTTTAGGGACCGTTTGTAGTTACAGTGGCACTG